CATGATGCTACGGCCACCGGCTTGATGGTCTCCCCAAATTTTCCTCTCTCCATCCCATAAATGCCTGTCCCTCTGCGCTCCTTGTTCTTTGCAGAAGCAAAGGCCAGCCTGATGCTCAGCCCCAGCAAACATGGGTGATGTTTCCCAACCCAAGCCCAAACCCAGAATTTTTAACACTGCTGGGGCTCCTGCTCGATGGTCCCCTTCTCTCCACCAGAACCTTTGAGACAATGGAGCAAGAAGCTGCAAACCAAGTATTTTAGAACAAGCCCAGCTTTCTCCAGCTTCAGCCCCAGCAAACCTCGCTCTCAGGTGTGATCTGCTGCCAGGAGAGCGATGCCACATCCCAACAGCTGAGAAGATAATGGAGCAAGAAGCTGCAAACCAACTCTTTTAGAACAAGCCCTGCTTTCTCCAGCTTCAGCCCCAGCAAGCCTCACTCTCAGGTGTGATCTGCTGCCAGGAGAGTGATGCCACATCCCAACAGCTGAGAAGATGCTGAGAACCTGACCCTAATGCCCAAAAGTCATAGACTCATGGAATGCTTTGGGTTGGAAGGGGCATTTCCTTTCAGACCAACCCTCCTGCCATGAGAAGGGACATCAACAACGAGATCAGGTTGTTCAAAGCCCTGTCCACCCTGAGCTTGACTGTTTCCAAGGATGGGCCATCTACAACCTCAAGCCATAGCTTCTCTACTCCCCTATGAGGGAAAAACGCTGGGGGACACCTTGGGGTGGGCTTAGCAGGACCAGGGGGTTCCAGGAACATCTCAGGAGAGGGGCAGAGGATGGGTGGGCACCCAGGGTGCCATCCAGGTGGTGTTGTGGGTGCTGTACCTGAGGCTCCTGGATCGTGGGCGCAGGCAGGGCGAGTGCCGCCCCTCCTCGTCCGTGACGCTCTCCGTACTGCGGAAATGCTTAGAAAGGAAATGCAGCTCATCGGGGGTGGGCTGGTACGGCAGCTGGTGCAGGCGCTCCTGGGAGGACGAAGACGACTGGGAAGAAAGGGAGAGGTGGGGGGGGGGAAATCAGGAGAGGGATCCGTGTTTCCCGGCCGTGGGGTGGGAAACCAGCAAGTCCAGGAGGAAATAATAGTCCTCAGAACCTCTCTATAGGAGGTTGGGAACACTGAGGGGTGGTGTGCTCCACGCTTGGTAATGAGAAATAAGGGTGGGAAGGATGCCCGGGGAGGTCTGCACTGCTCATTCCCACCCCAAACTGCCCAAAAGAGACTCATCCTTTGTACCCGCAGCGTTCCAGGTGGCTCTTGCCAGGCCATTCCCCTGTATGGTTGGGATGTGCCCATGAATACCCAATCCATGACACACAGTGATGCTCTAACCCCCAGGGATGCTGTAACCTCCAGGGGTGGGATGCTCTAATCCCCAGGGATGCTTTAATGCCCAGGGATGGGATGCTTTAATGCCCAGGGATGGGATGCTCTAACCCCCAGAGAAGGGACACTCTAACCCCCAGAGATGCTGTAACCCCCAGGGGTGGGATGCTGTAACCCCCTGGGATGCTTTAATGCCCAGGGATGGGATGCTCTAACCCCCAGGGATGGGATGCTCTAACCCCCAGGGATGGGATGCTGTAACCCCCAGAGATGGGATGCTGTAACCCCCAGGGATGGGATGCTGTAACCCCCAGGGATGGGATGCTGTAACCCCCAGGGATGGGACGCTCTAATCCCCAGGGATGCTTTAATGACCAGGGATGGGATGCTGTAACCCCCTGGGATGCTCTAACCCCCAGGAAAGGGACGCTCTAACCCCCAGAGATGCTGTAACCCCCAGGGGTGGGATGCTGTGACCCCCTGGGATGCTTTAATGCCCAGGGATGCTGTAACCCCCAGAGATGGGATGCTCTAACCCCCAGGGATGGGATGCTGTAATCCCCTGGGATGCTGTAACCCCCAGGGATGCTGTAACATCCAGGGATGGGATGCTCTAACCCCCAGGGATGGGACACTCTAACCCCTCCAGGGATGGGACCCTCTAACCCCCCCAGGGATGCCGTAAGCCACTCGCTGGGCTCAGTGCCTTCCTTAAAAGCACATTTGGAAAGCCCAACACAGCTAAAGCACATGGTCCTCTCGGGGAAGGGGCTGCCCAGGAACCAACGCCGTGGGGCTTGGGAGGCATTTCACCAAAAATCAAGGGGTTTGGGTTCTTCTCTCCTGCTGCCACGAGAAAGCAAACGTTACCGAGACAGTGGAGCTGGGGGTGTTGGTCCCATAGCCAGAGGAGGGTAACGAAGCCAGTGACCACCTTCTCCCCCTGGGATGCTCTAACCCCCAGGAAAGGGACGCTCTAACCCCCAGAGATGCTGTAACCCCCAGGGGTGGGATGCTGTGACCCCCTGGGATGCTTTAATGCCCAGGGATGCTGTAACCCCCAGAGATGGGATGCTCTAACCCCCAGGGATGGGATGCTGTAATCCCCTGGGATGCTGTAACCCCCAGGGATGCTGTAACATCCAGGGATGGGATGCTCTAACCCCCAGGGATGGGACACTCTAACCCCTCCAGGGATGGGACCCTCTAACCCCCCCAGGGATGCCGTAAGCCACTCGCTGGGCTCAGTGCCTTCCTTAAAAGCACATTTGGAAAGCCCAACACAGCTAAAGCACATGGTCCTCTCGGGGAAGGGGCTGCCCAGGAACCAACGCCGTGGGGCTTGGGAGGCATTTCACCAAAAATCAAGGGGTTTGGGTTCTTCTCTCCTGCTGCCACGAGAAAGCAAACGTTACCGAGACAGTGGAGCTGGGGGTGTTGGTCCCATAGCCAGAGGAGGGTAACGAAGCCAGTGACCACCTTCTGCCATCAGCCCTGTGAGTGCAAACGTGCTGGTCACATACAGGAAAAAAACCCGACCTCTACATGCAAATAAATAACATCAGAGTGATAAGAACAGGGAAGGGGATGGGGGTTTGGCCGGAATAATAAAGCCCTAAAAGCTATTTTCAGAATGGACTGGAATTGGGTGAAATAAGAAGGGTTTGCAGGTGAGGGGGACTGTTCTGCAAGGGACAGTGACAGTGAGTAGGGTCCCCATGAAGGGACAGCGCTGGGGCTCTCTTGGGTGGTGAATCTGCTTCAGAGGGAAAAGAAACGACAACAACAACAACAAAAAAAAAAGAGAAGATGATGCAAGAATCTGATTTTTAATTAGAGAGAAATTCAGCCTTGTGGGACTCTGCTCTAGGAGAAATGGGAATTCCTCAAGACCCGTCCTGAGACAACAGGCGCCGTGGAGCGGAGCCCGGTTATAAACAGGAAGGCAAACGCTCATACGTAGGCTGAATGCTTCCTCTTGGAGACGTCTCTAATGGAAGGGGCAACGTCCAGGTCAAGAGGAGGCCCTTCACCTCCCGGCTGCCGTTTCCCCTGCGGGGAAGCTGGCAAAGTGCCGGATCCGGCGCCGGCACCACGGTGTGCCCTCGCTGCCGGCGGGCTCACAAACCCCTGGTTTGGCTTTCTGCTCCGTTACAAGCCTGAAAACCACCCGTGTAGCCTCCAGCTTTTTTCCGCGGGACGATCGATGGGTTAAAATCAGCCACCCGCCCTCGTGTGTGCAATCAGTTAATTAGTTAAAACGGGATTTTGGCTCGAGCAGCACAGCCTGGGGAGGGGGGTGAGGTAAGATCTGCTTCCGCGGGGACCCTGTTGAGCTTCCATCCCTGGAAATCTGCTGGGCATCCATCCCTGGATATCCACTGGGCATCTATCCCTGGATATCCGCTGGGCATCCATGAGTGATGCTCATGCATCATGAGTGATGCTCCTCCCACTCAGAGCGGGTCCAAGCTGGGGCTGAACTCGTGGCCAGGGATGGTGTGATGGGAATAGGGATATTTTCACTGAATTTCACTGAATTTTTAGAGTTGGAAGGGCTGCTGGGCATCCATCCCTGGATATCCGCTGGGCATCCGTGAGTGATGCTCATGCATCATGAGTGATGCTCCTCCCACTCAGAGCGGGTCCAAGCTGGGGCTGAACTCATGGCCAGGGATGGTGTGATGGGAATAGGGATATTTTCACTGAATTTCACTGAATTTTAGAGTTGGAAGGGACCATAGAGATCATCTAGTCCAACTCCCCTGCTGAAGCAGGATTGCCTAGAGCT